CTTTAATATGTATAAAGTAACAAATACAAATGATATACTTGCATAATGCATAATTTATTAACTTTCATAAAACTTTTCAAGTGCTTTACTTTCACATTAAAAAAAAAAAACTGCGTTGTTTTAAATAAATTATTATAAAATGTGTGAAAATAAAATTCATCTGAATGATTTACTATTAAATAAAAAAAACAAATATTCATATAATTTTAATTAAAAGTGATACTTGGTACTGTTTGATATTTAAGGAATATCTGTTGGGCGTTTAGCAACCCATGCCTTAATTTGAGGTACAGCCAATACTTGTTCTTTAAGTGCTCTTAATTTTGGACGACCCTCTAATAAATCAATTTTTACACTGGAATTCAAGTAGCTTAAAATAGCTACAAAAAATAAATCAGCCCAAGACAACTGAAAAAAAATAAATATTTTAATTAACATACATTTTTTAATTGCTTATAAATATCTAATAAATATAATAGTATTATAATTATTAGTTATTACAAAAAAAAAAAAAAATGTTATTGAAATACTAAATGGAAAATGGAAATAAAAAAAATATTTAATAAAATTGATTTTAAATTTAAGTTATATTCAATGCTGAGACATACATTTTCTATTTATTTTTGAGATAAATAATAAATAGATTARATAAYTAAAGGAGTAGTCACCTTTCCATTTACAAAGTATCCATTATTTTCTTCAACRGTTTTTTCAAATTTATCCATATAAAATGGAATTGTTTCATTGATCAAAGGTGCATATTTTGCTTCTCTTGTTACTTCATTTGGATCATAAAAATATGATGCAATCTCTATAAAAATTATACTAATTAATATATGATATGAACCATTAATAATTTAAATAATATTAATTTACTATTGTTAATAATCACTTATAAGTAATATTTACCTTGTCGTAAATCATGAATGTTATCAACAGCAATATCRATCAACAAAGAYTCCCAATCATCACTTCCAGCTAATCCAGCTTTTTTGGATAAATAACGAGTAATAGCTGTGGATTGATTCAATACTTTGCCGTCAATTTCCAACACTGGTACTTTACCAAATGGCATGTCTAAGACAAATAAAAAATTCTTAATACTTATGTATATATTATATAAATATTTTACTATATACATATCAAAATCACAAAACTATAAAATAATGCAAAACGTCTACCACACCACCAGTATTACCCTAGCCATGGCCGCTGGACCACAAACGGGGCTAGGGCCTCTGCATTTTATTCAGGATCTCATGAATGTTTTTTTTGTTTGTTGTGTCAAGTCTATCGAGGGAATAGAGTTCCCTAAAGTATTTATGGAAATATTAAACCACACATATTTTTTAGGCCACTTTTTGTTTACAAGGCCCAGGTCATTCTCAGAATTTTTAGGTATTTGAATTGAATTATAGAGCATACACTGATACACATTGCATGCCCTTAATTAAGTATTAAACTGAAAATGTTATATATTTTAGGATCAAATTGATTTTCAAATTTGGCTAAAATGCACTTTACCAACACCCTCATGATTTTMAATTTTTTTTTTTTTAAACGACTTGTTTTTTATGCTTAAAACGATGGTGTAATTTTTAAAAGTTTTTAAATCAAGTTGCCCTAATTGCAAAATATCGTTTTTTATATTTTTTACGAATTTTTCAATTTTTTAGCCAGCCCCCCCCCACTTTGTCCGATCGACGCCAAAATACTGCCAAATAATTTCAAATGATTGAAAATCGTTCAGCAAAGACATCTGTCTCGAAGAAGATGTGTTGACATAGATCCTTTGTTGATGAAGCATTTTCATCACATTCTAGGCACATGTTCATCTTAACGTCTAAATATTTTTGGAGACTYGTCTCTAGAGTCTTAAATCCTTCTTTCAGTCTTACGATAATTGTTGGACAAGATACAATTCTAATTCCACTCTTACAGTTAGTATTATTACATTCTATGTATTCATAAGCTGATGCAGCATCTTTTAAAAGACTAGTCACTATAAATAGCACATTACAAGTACAATCTATGATATTAACACCTGTAATTCCTGTGTCTTCTTTGAAAATGATTTTTAGAATTTTTACATTAATATTAAATAAATAAAATAAAAAATGTTTWAAAAAAAAATATAATATGATTATTTTTTGAAATTAATTCATTTACCTAATCATACAAGGTAGGTACTAACTAATATTATTATGTCATATAAAAAAAACCTATGGTAAAATTAAAATAAATTAGCGTAG